TATTCTATTAATAGCATTTTGATTATGTGTTAATTAGACCTGCCCAAAAGAGTAAAGGAAATGAAACCAAAAATAAGTGCCTTTCCAATTATAAACTGAAAATTAGATTAACATTTTCAGGGCTTAGTACAGTTTATAATGTGTTTCATAATAAATATTTCTTTTATTATCAGAAGGAGAAAAGCTGAACTTATATGATTTTTAGGGAATAAAGGAATGGAAAATAAAACTCGTGCATGAGGTTTTTTGGGGGTTTTTTTTCCCCCATTTGGAGAGAGATTTTTGCTATAGGGCATGTGCACTCACTGGAGACAGAGAGAACAAAGGCGAGAAATCACCCCCAAGGGAGATGGCCACACCTCAATCCCTTCTCCTCTATTCTCTTCTCAGGATCTCGGGCATGACGCACACACACCCAGTGTGAGTTTTAAGCCACTGGATCCAGGACTCAAACCACAGTCGACTACGTGGGAGTCCAGCAATAACCATTACACCATCTGCTTGTCCCATGTGTGTGAGTTTTTATTAAAAACAAACAAACAAACAAAAAAGAACACTGAAGTGCGAAGTGTGTTTTTAACTGGGTACTAACTCAAGGCAGGTGGAAAGAAAAAGATGCAAGGAGGGTATAAATGGTGGTGCTGAAGGAAATAAAAATAAAATAACCCACATGGGAGGGTTCCCGGTTCATGTCCAGGGACCACCCTGAATACAGTGGCACGCATGGGCCCATGATACAGGGCTGGCAGATGCTAGGATGGATTGTACCATCAAGACTCTGTTGGGAGTGCTGTCTCTGCTCTCTCCATCTCTCTAGCTGATGAAAGAAATTTTCAGAAAATTTAAAAAGACAGATAGAAGGGATATAACAGGAATCTTATGTTGGACCCAAGAAACAATATTATAACAGGATTATTTATTTAAAATGAACCTTTCTAGGCCCGGCTTCTGTGGCACAGCTGATAATTACTATACTGCAGAGCTGAAAGCTACATGTGGACTATGATTTGTGTCCCCAGCCCGATCAGCCTAAAAACACACTGAGTATGTGCATGCGGGCCCAGGGTCCTGGTGCTGCCTGAAGGGGCTCACAGCGTGACCTAGTCTTTAGAACTGCATCTCTCTCTGTCTCTGTCTCTCTCTCTCTCTTCCTTCCCTCTCTCTCCCTCCCTCTCATGCACACATACACACACACACACACACACACATATACACACTACTACAAATAAATAAAAATAACCTTTATATAAATGGTAAAGTTTTAATCTCCATCCAGCTCTTTTCAATCTGCAAGAAGACAACAAATATCTTACTAACCAAAAGATATGAACAAACAGTTCTCAAGAAGACATACAAATGGCCAAGATATTGATAAAGATTCAAACTCAGTAGCCATTAAAACAGAACATACCATTTTTCTTTCACATACTGAGTTTGCAAAGATATGTTAGGGATAGACTTGTTCTTTTCTCTCTCTCTCTTTTTTAAAGAATTATTTTATTGGGGCAAATAGTTGGCATGATGGCTGTGTGGCTGGA